CAGTTTTATTCCTATCTATATTCTAAAGGTTTTTACTGAGGGGTTTGTTCATATTCATCTGATGTTCTGTAACATATTATTCACAAAAACACGGTAAAGTGTATTTTTCTGGCTGTTGACAGCAATTTCTGATTTCCAAAATCCTCTCTGTAAAAACATTCAATATGTCAACAAAATCAAACAAGAATTTTAAACCTGAATGTTCGGATTTCTGTTCTGGAAATGTATGCAAATTAATGCATATTTCAAAATATTTAATGCCTCATTTGCATATTTAAACATAACATTTCAGAAAACTTGTAATACAAAAAAAGTTTGCAATTCCTAATGCAATTAATCAACTGGGGAAGTATGATGATAAATATTAGTTTTATTTTTTACTCTATTGACCTGGGGTGTTTTGCCTTAAACACAACCGAGTCTCCAGAGCTGAAAGATCAACCTCTGAGCAAAAACATTCCTGAGGGAACTCTCATGACAAAATCAGTCCATGACTATGTGATAACTGAAGGCAGAGATGATGTTTCTGTGCCAGACAGTCGGAGGCGGGTGAAACACACAGACACTCTATAAAACCGAAAAGACAAGATCACAGGACTGATGAAACCCTGCCCACATGTGACTCCGTCAGATCCGCATCTGCACAGATCCTCCGGATGAACCAAGTGTGATGCTTCACCTGGTGAACTCGGCTGATGATCTGCGTCCATACGCTCTCTGCATTCGTTCCCTGGCGGGAGAGGTAGTCACGGCAAGACTGGAATATAAGAGCCGACATAAAGCACATTAGCACAGGTAAACAGCCTGGATGCACAACGGTGCCATGTGTTACGAGAGAGAACAGAGCATGTGTTTGGATGAAAAAACAAGAAATGCGTGCACTGCATAAAGAAAATCTTAATGAGTCTTAATGATCATAAAGTCTATTTTATGACCATTAACACTAATTACTTTGTGACATTAATCTCAGGACAATTACAGTAAATTCTGCCCCAAATTCGAATTATGGTAATGCAAAACATATAATTTTTATTACTTTATTTCAGTAATTAAAATAATCCTTTCTGGACAAAATGCTTATAAAAATATATAAAAATGGCATTTTTTCCCTCAAATTTTTAAAACAATATATATATATATAGTTGCTGTAAAATAGCCATTATTTTTCTTTATAATAAATATAATTATACATATACACACACGCACACGCACACACACATACAGTATATATATATCATATAAAATTTATATGTTTATATGTATATTTTATTTATAATAAATATAATACACATTATCTATCTAACTATATATATATATATATATAGTTCTAGAAAAGTATACATTATTTATACAATTTTTTTTATAATAATAATAATAATAATAAAATACAAATAATAATTATAAAAAATAACTGTCAACAGTCATAAAGATAGATAGATAGATATTTTTTTAGAATACATATAATACTCTTATATAATCTTATCCTATGTTTTAGAGTGAAATATGACTCCAGCATGTAAGTTTTAAATGATTAAATGATTCGCAAGTACCTTTTTTGCCATTTCAATAGAAGGTCTTTCGATTGGAGTTCTTTTGGCCATCTCAAGCAGAAGCCTCTTGAGTTTTCTCGGCATGGCCAGCTTTTGATTGGGAGATAAATTAAACTTGGCTGTAGCCCAGAGAACAGCTGCTACCCCATACACACACGCCTAGAGATGAGCAAAAGCACACTGTAAACCACATTCATTTAAACAGACCACACTGTGTCACTAGACAGCGACAAACCTTTTCTGTCACAATTCCATGTTCTTGAAACTCAGGAGCCAGAAAAAATGCATCACAGGAGGCTGAGAAGGACAACAAGAACAAAATCAATGAACTAAAAACAATTATAATAATTGCATTCACTTGAGAACATGTGAGTGTTGTTCTAAAGTGTGAGTTATTCTACATGTAAAGCTCATTCTGATTTCATATCGACTCTTCATTGACAGCTGTTATGAGTTGTGATGGTAATAAGATGTTCTCGTACCGGAGTTTTTAGGTCTCAGAAACAGCATCTCTCCTTCGCAGCCCACATACACGGAGTCCAGACAGAGGTAGTCTAATGTAACACAGCACAGTTATTTTTCTCAAACAGGAGCCACGGATCACAGAGGTCATGTAAACGTGGAGCAAAACAGTTGTTAAATAAATACTGGTATTAGTTTGTGTTAAATAGGAGATGGTTGGTAACACTCTCTAACTATCTGAACGTGGGTAGTTGGCAAATAACAGACATTTTCTGATTCAACATTCAAGATTTTAGGTTAACATTTATAGGAATGTCAAGTCACTTTTAAAAATTAGCATATTAGAATGATTTCTATAAGGAACAATTCAGCTTTGTTTACAGCAATAAATTACATTGTAACAGATATTCACATAGAAAACAGCTATTTTAAATTCTAATAATATTTCACAATTTTTACTGTATTTTTTTCCAAGTTAAATGCAGCCTTGGTGAGCCGAAGAAACTTATTTCAAAAATCTTAATTATTTGACTGGTAGTGTATGCATTAATTGTTTTGTATATTATTTTAACAAATGCATTCGGTTCAGGGCTCTCCTGGCTCTCCCGGGCCTCCTCTCCTGACTCCTCCTGTGCTCCGGAGAACTGTTCTGAGACCTGCTGTCTGGCGAAGGCTCGGCCGAACCTCCGGACCAGACCAGACCTCCGCGCCTCAGCAGCAGCTCCTCGCCGTCATATGAATCAGAGGAGCAGTTTCTCATCATGGTCCGATCGCCGGCGGGATTCTCCGTGGAGTTCGATCTCGAGGCTTTGAGATCCAGAAACTGGAAATTGGATTTCTCCCATCCATCTGTGAACAGACAGAAAGATTTGACCATGCCAGATGCTAGATCAGTGATTCACAAACCTTTTTTTGTCAGCCAAGTTCTAGCTAACGGACTTGATATTTTAAGGTTATATTTTAATAATTTAACAACAAATGTGCATGTTCATGGTTCTCATGTCAGTTAACGGTCACATGACATGCAGGAAAGCAAATACATTATTTGTATTCTTTTTTATTTTTATTTTTTATTATTATTCTCTGATGTCAGTTAATAGTCAAATGGCATGTAGGTAAACAAATACAATACTTGTATTATTTATTATATTTTTTATTGCGTTTTACTTTAATTGTTAAATATATTAATTTAAAAAAATTATTGTTTAAGACTATTTTAAAATTATTATTATTATTATTTTTTACATTTTTGTATTTAATTATCAGCTCACAAACCCCTTGTAATTCCCTCACAAAGCATCAGATGCACGGCATTATGAGACAGCTGTGATCTCACACCTTGCAGAGCAGCGAGGGACTCTATGGACAGGACTCTTCGGCCGATGGCAGACAGTTTCCGGCAGATGACTGCGGGCGAGACGTCACCGAGCACAGCCTCCGCCTGAGAGAGAATATCCTGACAAAGAGAGATGATATTACTCAAACATATCATTAAACAATAGAGAGAAACCTGCCTCTTTATTAAGTTAAATCACCCTTAAACGGTTTATATTGCACATTTTAATTATTGAATTCTCCACAGAAAGTCGTGGAGGTTCAGAACGAGTCAACTTTGCGGTTTAGTGTCAGTAAATGTTCTTACAGTATGTTTTCATCAAGCTCTCGCCTCAAAAGATCAAGGACAATTTGATGAATCATGATATGTAAAACTTTATGTGATATATGTGAAAAACTTTTTTTTTTCACTACAGTTTGTGAGAGATCTGGTATTTTTTATTGATCTATTTATTGTTAATATTTTGAATTAGATTTTCATTTTTATATTTCCTATTTTCACTTTAGTTGTGTTTTGTTGTGTTTTTT